GCAATTCTGAGATACTAAGTCGGAATTCTGACTTACTAAGTCGGAATTCTGAGTTGCTAAGTCGCAATTCTGAGATACTAAGTCGGAATTCTGACTTACTAAGTCGCAATTCTGAGATACTAAGTCGGAATTCTGACTTACTAAGTCGCAATTCTGAGATACTAAGTCGGAATTCTGAGATACTAAGTCGCAATTCTGAGATACCATAGCGCGTTTTTTTTTTCTGCCTGGCGGAAACGGGCTTCCATAGTTCTTAGATTGTTACTGCTGATCATTAAAGATCATCTGTAAGTGAAAAGTTATACTTTATATGAGAATATTTAATCTGATTTATAGAGACAAATTACCATTTCAGAACAAAGATACATAACTCCCAGTGCTAAGTAGATAATAAAACATGGAAAGAATGGTGGTTGTGTAAACCAATGTATTTTTAACTAAATTTTCAGGAAGGACTTTCAAGTCTGCTGGACATGAAAATCTCAATGATGGGGTTCTTGATCTTCTTTTATGGTGATTCTTAGTTGTTGTTACTATTATTTTCTTATAAACAAATATGAAATATTAAACGTTTTTTTTTTCTTTATTTTTGTAGGAACTCCTATGGCTTTCAATTTTCTCCCTGAAGAATCTTGCTGTGATAGATATAATCTGAACTTCACACATTTTAATGCTGTAAATAATATAAAATTAAGATCTGAAGAAGTATTCCTACTGTTTTTTTCCCTGAATTTCTCTGTGATATAAAATGAAAAGTATAAAAACTTAATAGCCACACAATAACAGACAAGATATAACAGACATACTATCTTACATCAAGTTGTATTAATGATGTGAAGCAAACAAATATCTTTTTCAATATTTTTAGAATACGACATTATGACCTGTAGACTCGTCTCTTAAATGATACCAAATTCATTACATATTGAAACACTATACTAACTTGCCTATTCCAATGTACTTCAAATAGTCCACTGGCTGAAACACATATCCTTAAAACATAAGGGCACTTCAATAAATAAGGTAATAAGACCTCTCATGGTTAGAACTGAGTTTCCCTGGTGATTTTTCTATACTTAGGACACTGTAAAACTGTAGGCTAATTATGAACAATGTGAAAGCTCAATGTCTCTGTGGTGACACCAAGTATTGGTGAAAATGCTGCCAAACACCATTATTTGCTGCATAATTTGTATGAAAATAGTACAACAAAGATTGAAGTTCAGCACTGGCTCACAAAGTGCAGAGACCCAGATATCATGTTATCGGCAGATGGCACACCAAACCAACTCTTATAAAGTCCACCTGGATGGGGCTTTCCTTGTTGAATTTGGCATGTTACCACAAAAAAGGTGCAGTTCCTTCAATGCATCTGAAAGAACAAATACTGTACATGCAGGATTGTCACATATTGGTCCACACCCTCCTAGCCCTTTCCTGGAAAACATCTCTTCTATCCTCTGTCCCTTCATAAAGCACCCGTGAGAAGATCATTTGAAAACAGCAAGTGTTTACATCTATAGGCTCTGAGAGCTTGACACTGAATTGTCCAATGCCATATTCAATATCTTGGTGTCAGAAAAACTACCAATGCCTTATATTATGATGGTAGTACCTTCTTATTGTACGTGTAGCTGTGTACAAATAAATGCATGACAATTTGACCTTGTTACATTGTAAAACGTAATAACAAGTGACAATGACAGTGAAAATTAGATGCATTTGTGGAAAGCAAGGTCCACCTTGCTAAAGGACATAAAGGCTAGGACCTCCATGCAGAGTGAGCTGTTAACAAAATGGTAGCTGCAAATATGGATTCTTTGTTTTTAGCAATTACACCGTACATTCAGTTGACAATATACTGTACATGATAGGAAATTATAGGAAAATCACTTTAAAATGTGTGTTTCAAATGATACTATAAAACAACAATAAAAAATGGTTATGTACTGTACATTACACACAGGAATGTGTTACAGAAAACCGGTAATTTTCCTCTAGCACACTGAATTACATTATGCACAACCTCATTCCTTAATTTCATAATTCAGGGTACTCAGAATCAATCAATCAAACACTGAAGTCCAAGGACACTGAAGTGCCTCTTTTTCCTGCTAGCATGTCACTGATAGAGTGCTGTCAAATTATGCAACAACTGAAATAATTATAGATTTTAAGCAAACTTCACATAAGGCATGTTTTATGGTACAGTAACTGGTTCACACAACAGTAATAAAAACGCCAAGGAGAAAATAAAATCCAAATTTTGTCCTATGGTTTCAAAAACTAGATGGTTTAAAAATTGGAATGTACAGAATGATTTCTTATCCATCTAACCATTATTTGCACACCAAATTATTTGTATAAATTTAGGAGTAAAAGGTTTTCATAGTGCTAAATAATGATGGGAAATTGAATCTGGGAAAGTAAGCATATCTGAACCTTTCACAACGGCTGTTAATCAAGACATCATAATACATTGTCAAGGTTGGAAGTTCTGTATGTTGGTGTTGGCATGAAAAGACAACAGAATTGTGTTGAAACCTGATATTTTTTTAAATCTGAAGTTAAAGAAAATCAAGTTAACACAGGCTTCAGTGCTTAATGATTTTTAAGTATTAATCATAGTACTGTCAAAACTGACTAACAATATTAACTTTCAGTCCAGTAACTATTATTGTAAAAACTGGGATTTCTACTGACCATTCAGGCAAGGAT